CACCTTTTTCCCAACTCAGTTCAGAGGTGGAATAATGAGGATATGCTATAAATATGGACCATGGACTTGTCTCCTCATTGCTGGAGTGCACAGACCAGGGGGAAAGCTGCCCAAGATGGAGACTTAATGCAGGGTGGTTCCTCCCAGTGGAGGAGTAAAATGGACAGATGTTCATGGTCTGTAGAGGACACTTTGCTCAGAAGTTGCTCAGATGTCTCAGTTCAGGTGAGGGGAGTCCCCCCTATCTGCTGGCAGGACTCATGGCTAACTCCTGGGGTCTGGGGGGGCAGCTGGCACTGGGTGTGGTGGGTGACAGCCAGGACTTTTCCTTCCCAGCAGCTGAGTGCAACCCATCTATTTTCACCCAAATCAGCCTAATTGTATCCATATTTATTGCCTGCTGTTGCATAACAGGTAGGCAACACCTCCTTAGCTGTTTCAGATCCTAAGGGGCTGCCAATACCATGCTGCTGTCACTGTGGTTTTTCCATGATCTCTGCACTCCTCAGGCTTCTTCCAGTTGTTATTTTCTAGAGTTAAAGAGACCTTCAGACTTCTCAATATCAAAAGCAAATGTATCAGTGGGAAGTCTGCTTCCCAAGTGTGGTTCAGGTCAAACCGTGTTCTTAAAGTCTCCTGGAAGGGTTCAGGTCTGTGAGCCCCAGACAACAGGCACACCGCTTTGCCTGCTCTGGGATTTGTTTGCATGAGGGGACCAGAGTTTGTAATTCACCTCACTGCCCCAGCTGGGGGAGAGTTTAGTCCCCTCTTTTCAGAGCTGCTCCCAGAAACAATATTGGCTGATACTGGCTTACTAACCCAAAGGGGGAAATTACTATGAAATGTTTACAAGGACCATTTGAAACCTGAGAAAAGGATGTTTTTAGTAATGGGGAAAGAGCCAAATACCTTAGAAGATAAATATTCCAGCTTCAAGAATTAATTACCACTTCCCAGTAATGCAGGTTGACAAATAACCTTGCGCAATTTCCTGGACAAATACATTTTAATGGCAATACTGTGCACAGAACAAGAGCAAAATACAGCTCGCTGAACCGTGACCCTGCAGGACTGGGCATGTGGGCTGATGCCTTTGCCCAAGCACTTACCCAACAAAGCCCAAAGGATGAGGCTCTGGGGCTAAAGCAGCTGCCTTTACACAGCAGCTCACACCATGAGGGCCTCTGGGTGAGGATTTCTCCTACAGATGGTTATTTTCAGTCAAGAAAGGAAAATACGAATAGCAACCAAGTGCATTTTTAAAAACAGCAGCTGTGACATCTATGAAGGTCTATAATCATTATGCAAACTTTATTACGTAGCTTTTCAGTTGTAAATCAAGTAACATAGGCCAGTGAAATGGATGCTCAATTTCTATATCCTAATTTTCCTTTTGATAGTGTGGGAAGATAGTATATAACTGGCTATGCTCCACAATTATACACTGGCATAACAAGTCACAACATGTATTTATACTTATTTCAGTCAAGAGCATCAAGCAATGAATGTAGTAAGAAAACTTCATAAACCAATTATCTCAAAATAATTTTCAGTAAAAAGGCATTGCCTTCTCCTTCTTTTTAGATAGGTGGAAAGATGAGAGCTGTGGAAGAGCAAGTGTGAGTATCAATGGGCTTTTCTGGAAATCTGAATTGTTACTAATTACCCAAAATCCAAGCTGCTGGATGAGCTGCTGTTTTGTGAGCCATGCTCTAACTCATAGTAAGCTTTTCAGGGACATCACTCTGAAAGTACCTTGGGAAGACGGCTCTTTGGAGGACTGCATGTGCAGTGATGCAGCAGCACCATCACCCCTGGAGATATTGCTCCTAGAAGGACAACTGACTTTGGGTCCTGGCTTTAGGAGCAACTGAAGAGATCCTACTGTCTTTCTGGTGTGAATCACCAGTAGTCATGTGCCAAGTGCAACAACTGCTGCAAAAGGTCAACTTCCCCTAAAGGACTTTATGCTGAACCTACTCAGACTTTCCTAAATAAACAGCAGCTTCACCAAAAGCTACTGAAGTCCTCCAGGAATAAAATTGTTTTATATGAGGTCCAGACATGGGATGCAGATTTGTTTCTAGTCATCTGTCCATTCATGCCTCGACCACTTTTGTTCCCTGTCTGAAGCTGGAACCCAGCTCCTGTCCATGGTCGGTCTTGTCCACAGTCTTTCATCTGAACAAACCACAGAAATGCAGCATGGACCTGTGGCACTGACCATCATGTGTGCTGATAGCCAAGTCCCTGCCAAGAGGCAGCAAGGAAGCAGCCTGTGTCCAGGCTGATAAAGCAGTGCAGAAAGTGAGGGGACATCTCTAAAGCCTTTTGAAGAAAACATCCCTATCTCTTGTCTAGGGATCTGCAGTTCCTGAACTGAAGCACACGGAACAGATTGACGGCAGCAGCTATTTTAAAATTCATGAAGTCTTAAAGCATTACTGGTTGATTTCAGTGCTGGGCGATAACTAGACAAAATAGCCCAACAGCGGGGAGATGCTGATGTAGTAGCAGCCATAATAGTGCGTGATGCCGCACACGTCCCTGCTTCTGAAAACCCACTCATCCGTCTTGTCAGAGTAAATTGCTGTGATTCTGTTTTATAATGAAGATGGTGGGAGGAAGGAGGCAGATGCATATTTCCCTCTGATCAAGGAGAAAGGCTGGGCCATGCCCCACTTACTCTCCTGAAGCCATCCTGGCCTCTGTGTGAAGGGCTTAGAGACTGGTGATGGCAAGTATTCAGTAGGGAGGTCACAAGTGGCCTTGGCCCAAGAGAAACAAGGCTTTGGAACTCCTCTGTTAGCACTTGAGAGATGCTTTTGCCTCCCTTCCCACTGTGCCCCTCTTTGTCTGCTTGCCCAGGACTGAAGAAAATGCCAGGGCAAAAAGAGTTGGAAGCCAGTGGGATTCTCCTGTGCTTTGTCTGCCAGCTCAGGGTCACACAGGCTGAAAACTTCTGGGTGAAGCTAAATCTGTGCCAGCCAGGGCAAATTCTGGCAAACAGCTTAAATACCTAATTTATGTACCTGTACCAAAAAGCATTATGTAGAATGCCCCAGCTCAGCTGCTGCCTTCGACTGGAGGCAGGTCAGAGCAGCCTTACCTCCTTGCCATGGGCATGCTTTAGCCAGTGAGATTTCCCATTACAACCCCGACGGGCCTCATCCTGCTCCCAACAAGCAGCTGAACCAGCCCAACAGCATGGGGAGCTTGGGGAGGGGACAGGAGGGTGTCTGCACTTCCACCTGAATGTGGGTGCCTACATAATGAGGGGCATCTCTTTAGATTCTCCCTTAGCAGAGATAGGGCAAATAACTGTATTTACCCTCCTGCTCCTGCCCATTCCTCCCCGCCGCCTGTCCACCAGCTCCTGTACAAATTCTCTCCCTGTACCACAGCAGGGCCTCGAGCTCCTGCTTCACCAGGGCAGTGGGAAGCACTGGAAGTTGGTGCCTAACACTCTTTTTCACCCAGCCTTTGAGGTCCATGGTGAGATGTAGACAGGTCCAGTACATGTTACTTGCCTTTTTAGCATATTTTGTGCCCATGTATGAGCTGTATACCTTTAACAACTTGCTCAGTGGAACTCTACTGGATACATGAGTAGAAAATCCAGCTTCATCATTTCCAAAGACAAAATCTACAGTTTAAATAACAACCTAAACTGTATCTTGGTGGTAATTTCTCTTGGAAATAATTTGTTGTCACTGATTTCAGGACAGTGAAATGCTGCATAAATATTCCACTTGCAATTTTTCATCTCCCCTTCAAATCTCCCCATGAACATGTGGCCCATGTGCTAAGTTCGAGTCTGCCAGGGATATACTCATTCTCATCAACACTATCCCCCTGCTCCCCTCAGAGTCCTGGGCCTGGCAGAGGAAGTCCCACAGCAAAGGAGTATGTGCTTAAACAGTACTTTGATTTGTCCAGGCTGTCACCATGCACTTCCATGAATTAACTCAAGTTTTGGACCCAATTTGCAGGCCCAGTTTCAGTCATTTCCTGCAGGTCTGGAGCTGCCTCCCTTCCGCTCTCCCCATTCCCTTTGGTAGGGCAGCACAGAGCCTTCAGAGAGGAGATACACAGCTAATGTGTCTGGATTGACATTGTGCACGTGGCCCTGGATGGCGAATAGTGCTGCTGGCACTCCACACCTCTACCCAGTTCTAACAGAGGCCTCTGGTGCTTCCTCACAGAGCATCATCCTTAGCTTGTTCAGTTACCCTTCCCTGGATTACCACTATCAGAAAGACTTTCATCTGCAGATCAAGAATGGAGCTGTCCCAGAAAGCTTCAAGTCCCAGGGGTCAGAAACCACTAAGGCACAGCAGTGTCCTTGCAGCACAGGGACTTACTCAGCAGCTACCTGCCTTTCCTGACAGAAGGGAAGAAAACAGTCTTTGGACTTAATCTGTGAGATTAAAAAAAGAAATATAAATTCAGTTTTACTGGAGTTGTGCTTGAGTGGGGACAGCCAGTTTCCCTCTGTGCAGACTACTCCATTTCCACACTTCTTACTCAACATGGAACAGAGCTTTATTTTTCACCAATACCATGCACATACTTCAGAGACGTATTTGAAGTGCAAAACCCATGTTCCATGTTCAGACATCCAGCAAGCAATTAATAAAAAACACTCTAGTATGGTTTAGAACTAATGTGAAATGAGTAAAATGTCTGACCTGTTTTCAATGGCTACAAAATTGCCCTGGGGAAGATACAGATGTGATTCCTTTTAAATATAGCTGTTTTCTATTAAGCGAACCTACACATCAGTCCTTCCTATCACACATCTCCAGAGAAAGCATCCCACACACTCCTCTGCTGAGGGTTGCTCAGCACTTTGTCCCATGGTGATCTCTACAAGAAACTCAACCCTCCTGTTAAATGCTTGGGGCTCAAAAGATTAATTCTGTGGGATAGATCTCTAAAGCACATCAGAAATTCAAACTCATTCCCAACAGCTTATCATCATTCATGTGATTATAGGTGCAAGCAAAAACAGCTGTCATTGAGGGAGAACAGAGAATCTATTATAATCAGAATTCTTACAGACAGTTTTATATTTTTATGTTTAATAAAGCCTTTTTTCCCTCTCCATATAAAGCTTTCCTTCAAAATCTTTCCAAGCATTTTATAAAGGTGAGTGTTACACCATCATCACTCCCATTTTACAAACAGGAAACTGAGGCCCAAAAAAAGTCATTTGAGCAGTTTAAAACATCAAATCCCAGCACCAAACCAGAAATAGAATCAAAACCTCCTGGAAAAATTTCCTTTCTCCAACTACCTCTATTTAGTTGCTATGCAGCTGTTTTTTTTTTTCCTTTGTAAAAATTACCCAACCAGTCAAACAGAGAATGGCAACAAAACTGCAAGCTTCAACATACTTACTTCCATACTGCTGACATTAGTACAAAAATAAAGATTTTTATTAACTAGTTTACAAAAATAAAGTCTGTCGAGTCACACAAGATCTCATGGGAGGGGTTTATTTGACTTTGGAAGATAAAGCCTGTTTGAAACGTCTCTTTAGATCTTGCATGTTGGGAGATTTGGGACGAGGGATGATGGATGACCGCCTCCTGTCCGTGCTGCCCACATGCTGTAGTTTGCTGACCTCTTTGCAAAGATACTGGAAAACATCACAAACGCCTTGGGAGTCATCACTTGTGGAGATTTCCAAAAACAGGCTGCCCAGTTCATTTGCCAGCTGTAGTCCTTCTTTTGCCTGTACTTGCCTGGCATGGAGGAGGTCTGCTTTGTTCCCCACGATAATGATGGGAGTCCTGGCATCTGGGTGGACCTTACGGATGTGCTGGTAGAGAGGTCGGACTGACTGGTAGCTGCTGTAGTCTGTGATGGAGTAGACCAGGAGGAAGCCCTCTGCCCACTTCACACACCTGGTCAGGGAGTCCAGCACCTGCACGCAGTCTTCCTGCACCTGCAGTACAACAGAGACACAAATCTGGCACCGGGTTGTGAGAGTATAAGGCCTGAATCATAGACAGCATCGTTAAACAGGTCCAAAGAGAAGCCCGAGCTCTGTCCTAGGAGACTACGTCTGGCCTTGTAGGAAGCCGGAGCTCAAAAACCGAGCCTTTAGCTGGCAGAGGAACCGATCATCGATCCGAAGCGTCTCCGTACCTGGATGCATCCCGGCGTGTCTTGGATCTGCATGGCAACGTGGTCCCCGTCCAGACGGACTAGCCTGGAGTAGAGGTTGCCTGGGGAGCAGAGAGCCGTCAGGCACAAGCCGTTATGTTTCAGTTTAGTGTTTTGTCTCTGTTCCATGAAGCCTAATTAGGAGGTGGAGGCTGAGCTGTCTCCTCCATTCCAGGTTTTACTGTTTCAAACCATTGCAGCTGGTTCCCTGCCAAAGGCCCTGCCAAAATTTCCAGTTGTCTCTTGGAGAAGCAGCTAGAAAGCTGCCTTCTGAACTGTCAGCTTTGTTGGTTTTAGCATATTAGTGACACAGAGGCCTGAGATTTCCTGAGGGCCATGTAGGCAGTGTAAGTGCTAATATTGTGTGTGGCCGGGAAGGTCAGTGAAAGGACGGGAGGAGGAATCGTGCCTGTGCAAAGGGGCTGCAGGCTGCAGAGCCCGGGTGGGTGCAGGGGATGTGCAGAGACTTCCAGCCTCATTCCCAGGGGGAGGCAGGTAGGCAGCTGCCCTGAGGATGTACAAAAAAACTCATGCTTTTTTAATCTTCCCGTTGTATGTATCAGATGGGGGAAACAGTCCCAGTGTTCACTCCCACGTGAACCCCTTCTCGGTGCAGTCCTGGACTCAGCATGTTTGTGGCCCTCATAGACAAAAGAGTGGCTGGCATCCCAAATGCAGATGCTGTGCTGGCGTGTCCTGACTGGCCCAGAGGATGCCAAGAGCTGTGCAGACACCTG